AGAATGGCGGAAATAGAGATCACGATGCAGAGAGAGAGAGAGAGAGAGACAAACGAGGGCAACGTCCAAAGGCTAACTGAGCCTGTTTGGCCTGTTTGGTCCAGGCATGAAACTGCGACTTCGCGAGTTTTGCAGCAGGGGAGAGGGAAGTCAACAGACATTCCCACCTTCCCAATTCCCTTTCCACTGTTAGTAAGGATGGTGATGGGTGCGGGTGGGTAGTAGGGTTGGCTCTCAGTGTCATGTGTGTCATTTGTTACTAAAAAAAAATTACCCTTCTAATAAGAAATTCTTGTCGCATAATTTATTATTTTTTTATGAAAAAAAACCCTGTTACGTCACATTCGTGCGAATCCTCCCTCCCCCCCGTAGCAAATTGTAACACTTTGTCTTATCCCCCCCTCCCCTCTTTGCCTTACGTAATTTGTGAACGACCCCCAAGTATCAGTGAAAGTCTCAGTTGACAGAGGCAGTGCGACTGGCCATAACTTGTAGAGTAGACAGAGGAATCACGGATCTAAAAGTTTTCCATGGAGATTTTAAAGCTTAAAACCAGTTGGGAAATAATATTTCACGTCATCAGTCTCCTTCACTTTGCTTAATTAAAATCTTTAGAGCTCAAGCAATGGCGCAACCAGTCCTAAAGTTTATTCATTCATTTTTTTTTTTTTGGGGGGGGGGGGGGGGGGGGAAAATTTTTTTTGCCCTNATTTGCCAAAATGCGAAAGAAGTAACTGAAAACAGTAATTTCTTCATTCTGAATGAGATATATAATTTTAAAAATTGTAATTTCAGAATAATTCGAAATGACGTGGTTTGTCATTTCGAATTGACAAATCCCATTGTAAAATCCCAACTGGAAATTTCCAGCTGGACAAAAAGCTGCAAATTCTGACCATTTCCGGCCGGGAAAGAGCTGGAATAGAGTAGATACAAATTGTTTTACAATTTTTAGCTGGAATTTCCAATTGGAATGCAACTGTTTCCAGCTGGAAATTTTCACTTAAAATTTTATGCAGAGGACCCTCCAGCTGGAATACAGCTGCTTCCGTAAATGGACCTTCGACAAGAATAGCCAAGAAAAACATTCTCCTTCCGCCAAATTTGCAACTAGGAACGAATCTGGGTCTGGCTTTACTTTCCGGCTGTTAACCTGTTGGAACGGGTCCGAATTTACGGCTGGGGTCCAGCTGAAAATTATAACTGTTCCCACCCAGTTTAAAATCCCGGCTGGAAACAGCTATAATTTCCAGCTGGACTCCAGCTGTAAATTCGGACCCATTCCAACTGGGTAACAGCTGGAAAGCAGTCATCTGCAAATTTCTTCCTAATTGCTCTATCACTAGCTGAATGAGAATCTTTTTGTTGACTATTTTTGTCAGAGGTCCATCTACAGGAACAGCTGATTTTCAACTTTAAATTTAGCTACATTCCAGCTGTATGGTCCCCTTGATAAAATTCCAACTGGAAATTTCCAGCTGGAAACAGCTATTCAAAATCAGCTGCATTCCAGTTGGAAAATTCCAGCTAAGAAACAACTGGTACCTACTATTTTCCAGCTCTTTTCCAGCTGGAAATGGTCCGGATTTTTCAGATTTGGTCCAGCTGGAATATTCCAGCTGGGATTTTAAACTGGGCAGCCGGGAAATCTGTCATGATCGAGAGAGCCATTCATCAAGTATCAGCTCATCAAGTTGCGAATTAAATGCGAGTTTTGTCACGATCCAAGCCCAGAAGAGAAAATGCACACAATGAAAAATTATTTCCTGACCTAAACTGAACGGCTTACCCAGTTTAAAATCCCAACTGGAATATTCCAGCTGGACCAAATCTGTAAATTCGGACCATTTCCAGCTGGCAAAGAACTGGAAAACAGTAGGTACAAGCTGTTTCTTAGCTGGAATTTTCCAACTGGAATGCAGCTGGTTTTAATAGCTGTTTCCAGCTGGAAATTTTCCAGGTGGAATTTTATAAAGAGGACCCTACAGCTGGAATGTAGCTACAGTTTACAGTTTTACAGTTTTACAGTTGAAAATCAGATGTTCCTGTTGATGGACCTCCGACAAAAATAGCCAAAGAAAATATTCTCATCCAGTTAGCGATATTGCAAGTAGGAAAAAATCTGGAGTTGACTATTTTCCAGCTGTTACCCAGTTGGAAATTATTGCTGTTTCCAGCCGGGATTTTAAACTGGGTAGTTAGACGGAACCAATCTGCGAATCTTAATGGCTACAGTTCGATACCGCGAAAAGTTAAGCACCGTGTAAAGAGACTCCCCCCCCCCCTCAGAGGGGAGAAGGGTCAATTCCTAGCATCCAAAAAGTCGGTGAAACGGAAGGCATTTCCACTTTCCGAAGGAAAACTGAAGGTGGCATCCATTTTTGCTTCGTTCATTCTGGTAAGCTTTGGCGTCCCTGGTGAATCTGCGCAAAAAATGAATTTGTGAGGGGACACATGTGGCACATGCCTAAGGCCGACCCTGGTTGTATTCGTCCTCATCGAAAAAAATTACCAAGGAACGAATGCAACACGAGCACGGCGGAACTTCTGTTTTTTTCAAATCAAAATTTCCCGGCGCCTCTTACCCTGAATTGGAATTACTTCACGATTTTCAACCTGACCTGGAAAAAAAAAGACTCTCACACTTTATTCAGTAGATCACGAGAGGACACATGAAAATAATCAGACCCAGACTAAAACTTCCGTGGCTTAACATATGACTCTCACCTCACACAATCTGGACGCATCTCCTTATTTCTCAGTTCTTCCGGCTGACTTCGACCCTCCATAATTCACGTCTCTCGGGGTCTGAGGGGAATCTGAACATCTTGAACCCTTTCGTGTTGGTGCATTCAACCGCAGAGTACCCTATTCCTATTTAAAACGTGTGGGCACCCACACTCAGTCACGAACCAATATGGCCGGTATGGTATCACGTGACGGCGATCAGCCGATGGAAAGCCACAGTTGGCGGTATCCCCGAATACAAAAGCTGTCCAGACCAGGGACGTAACAGGGGGGGGGGGGTCCTGGGTGTCTGGACACCCCCCGAAATGAAGCAAGATGTCTTGAAACGAGGAGTATAGGGGAGGGGGGTGGGGGTGTAAAAAGTTTCACATATAAAACTAAAGTTTCGACTTGAACTCGACACTTCGTCATCTCACGAGCTTGAAAGAGCGTCACAAAGACAGGACGTCCCAGGTCCGAACCTTGTTTATCGAGGGCCTTGGTTCGTCCCTCCCACGAGAGACATCTACCGCGAGGCGAGGGAAGCTCCAGGGAGGACGTGCAATGAATGCTCTGATCGGGTTTCAATGCGATCTTCATCTCGGTCGAACCGGCAAGGACACCGGGATGAGGGCGAGAGTCTCTCCCCTCTTTTCCCCAACAATTTATATTACCTAGAGAGAGAGGCTTCCCTTTCGTTCTGGGATTCAGAAGGAGTTCGTGTGTCGGTTGTCGGTTCCCACATTGATCCTCGATAGAGGCCTGTTTCGTGCGTTGTGGCATTGCTGTGTTGCTGTCCTTGTGCTGCTCGGGCTATACGGCCGTCCCAACAATACGCCCCTGACAGTATTGGCGTAATTAACTTTTTGTTCCACGGAAAGGTATCAGTCTGTACTGAAACTTCAGGCATGTCGATCGGCCTTACTGCGGCCCAGCCCTGCCTGGTCTGGCTTTGCTTTTGGTCGGAGCCGTCCGGATCTCAACTCCTGTTCTTCGATGTCTTGCATCTTATAAATGGGTTATTCCAACATATTTGATAAAGAGACTGACGGTACTTTTGTGTACTCGAAAATTAAAATTAAAAAATCAGGTATTTCACGCAAAATTTCAAAAAAAAAAATTCCGCCCTCGGATTTACGTTCGATATTCTTGAAGTGAGCACCAGCACTTCCTGTTTCAGCACTGTCACCAACTCTTTTTTTCTTTATGGACGCAGGGAGAGCATTGGGGTGTCATGCTTGGTCTATGTACTTGGAAAGAAAGCACAGGCTCTCTAGATTTGATCTCGAGATCAATCATTTTGGATTGAATATGAACAAATGTTCGATTTGATACCTTGTTTTATAGGAGGGATAAACGTAATACAGCCCTGGTGCCCCAAGTTTTATATATAAAAACCATGGAAAATGTTATACTTCAAGTAAAAGCTTCCCCTGAACGCAGCACTCCTGCACGTTTATCCTTGATGCGAGAGGTTATTGAAAGTAGTCAGCCTTGGCCAAGGGCGCAGGAACCGGGTGGGCAGGGGTGGCAAACGGTCTCTTTCCCCTCCCTCTCTCCACTCCTTTCCAGCTAGATGCATATCTTGACTGCACTGCTTTCGCGATGAATTCACAGGCCCTCAGGGGGCACTGGGGCTACTGGAGTTTCGACTCGAGGGACATATACCGTATGCCAGTTTACGTCATACGGAGAAAACTTTAGTTTCCTCGTTGTCGGTAGACACATTGAAAACAACGGTTTGCGTGGGTGTGTGAACTGGTCGCAAAAGTACTGCAGTTAAGACATGCATCTAGTTCTGGCATGTGAATTTGCGGAACTCCTCCACCCTTGCGGTGTTCGGAGTCCCTCGCCCCTCACTTTCGAAAACTTTCCCATGGCCTTGGCAGCAAGAAGCAAAGACATGCGCGAACAAACTGTTTTTTGAGAAACGGCGAGTCCCGCACATTGTTTTCAGTGATCGCTTCTCATTGAGAAGTTCCCGAGAAGGCAGGGATGAGATGAATCGAATCCCAAGCAGGGGATCAGTCCTTGAGGTCCCATGCCACTCCGTCATGAAGAAGGCAAGGAGAGTAAACAACTCTTTGTCAGAGGTTTTTTCAGAGCATTTTTACGACATACAGTCGGTCAGAGCTGACAAAAGCAGTCAGATAGAAATACTGAATGAAGCTCCCAACTTCCATATGTGCACTGGGGAGTTGTGGTAAAAATTTAGTGAAATTCGTTGCAATAGTTTCCCTCTGCAAACGTTGCGGGAAACTTTTCGGGACGGCTTAATCCAGCAGCTCCGCCCAGCCCCCACCTCCACTTCCACCAGAGAGGATTTGTGGACCCCGAGCCCGCCTCTCAATGGAAAATGGCTCTGTACTGAGAAACGTGCTCCTCGACTCAAAGACTCAGGTCCCATGCCGATTTATCCTTCCTCTTACTATATCGTTGTGCATTATAGGCCTAACGTTAGGCCTACTCCAGCATGATCTCCAATGCTGATGAGTTAGGCGCAAGATCAAGCGAGGAATCTACCGTTCATAAGCAGGTAACGTTATGATTGCCCTTGGTTTGGCCCACTAATGATTAGGAATGTTTTTCGAAGCTTCTCTAAGACCCCATGTGACCGATTTCATTCCCGTTAATAACATGCATCTTTTCTCAAATAGTGATTCAGGATCATGGCGCTCACCAGCCTTTTATGAAAGGGGAGAAGAAAGAAGCAGAGTAAGTGAATGCCTTGGAGTTGGAGCTGACTGCTCCATACAGACTTTATTATTCGGGTAGAGGTTGAAGGGAAAGGCAGCAGATCCATAATCTTGAACAGGTCTAGGTTTTCTGACGACAGAGATGTTTGTAATGCACTGTTTGAACTATTACAAATGTACTCATGAGGGTCAGCCAACTTCAACTCCAAGGCATTTAGTGTATAAATGGACCTTCTGATACTAGATAAGATGCTATTATATCTGCTTTATACATCTTCCTATTTGAGTGGAAGGGACTTTAGGTATTAATAGCTTGCCAGTGTAACTTGACTACATACACCACGAATAATTCTTGCTTGTTCGAAATGCATCCCTTTGACTCTATCCCCCGTGGAAGCATTGGAGATCAGGCAAAGAATCAGGAGTATTTTTTTTTGCATCAAGCCCTTTCCTGTCATGCTTTAATTTGATTTTGGAAATGTTTCAGAGGCTGAAAGCTGCCATTCACCATTCTGTTGGAAAAATCTGTGAAGAAATTGCTGAGTTAGAAAATGTTCAGTTTAGCCGCACAGTGATAGCTGCCCTTTCAGAATTGACTTGTCAACAACTTCAAATTATTGGGAGAGATTTGGAGTGCTTCAGCAGGTTAGTACATTTCAAATATGACTTAGTTGATAAATGTCTGATGGACACGGGTGCATCTAATTAGGTTTGTAGGCTTGACTGTCAGGATGTAGAACATTAACAGTGCAAGGAGCAGCTGAGAACTAGTTTGCTATAAAATCTTTTGGTGTAATCACATGAAAACTTCATAATTATTTCATAATTTGGCTTTCCATATTTACATGTAAATCATATTGCAATGTTTCTTACATTGTGAAATCTCCAGGGTAAAGTATTCTATAGGTTAAGCTTTTTTTGTCCAGTTACCATGTAATAAAAAAAAATTCAAAATGCTTGTTGGCAATGATACAATCTCTCTCATATTATGGTCAAGTCTGGCATTATATAAGACCTTAAAAATTTTTTATTCTGAAAAGGTGCTTGAAATGTTTTTTTTTTCCACTCGGCAAATCTTTCACTGAAGCAATTGATTACATAATTGATTAATTAGAAAATGTGCAGACTTAAGAGGGATTTATCCCATTACTTATTGTTGCATTCATAACTTGTTATAATATAACAAGTTATATTATAATACCAGAGTTGATCATAGAGAAATCAGTTTAACAGGTTGGTTGTAGGTGATTAATGATTTCATTAATTTAGCCATTAATTTTGAACTAATAATTAATGTAGTTCAAGTTATGCACAAAATATTTTTTGTATGGAAGTGTTTCAAAGCTTTCCCATGGTCAAGCAAGCCTCAATAGTAAATGTGCATAAAGTCTAACCTGAAAAAAGGCACTTGGAGCTAACTTCATGCTTGACATTAAATGGGTCCAAGTAGCACTAAATTTAATGACAGAAGTGTTTCATCCTTGCCTATTTTGAATAGGATTTAAGCTAATATACAATGAGTCATGCTTTTAAACTGAAAATTGTGAATTATACAGAAGGCTTGTGTTTATTTCATAAGTCTTCCTCCAGGATGTGGATGACCTCAAGATCCCCTGGAATAATATGATGAAGTGTACTTGGACTCTTATGGAACAGAAATAAACTATCCCAACCTACCCCTTAGCTGACTAAAATGGATTAAAATTTAGTTAATTATTCATAGAGGGCAATCATAAATAAACTGACTAGACAGAGAATCTCCTTTGGTAATTTTGTCATGGTTTAAAAAAATATCCCACCATGCTGTGATGATTTTCACTATTTGATTTAAGTTTTTGTCTGTCTTTTCCCATTTTATGCATTGTCATTGTGGTTTCTTAACAGGCATGCAAAGAGAACAAGTGTGAACTGTGATGACATAAAGCTCTTGGCTCGAAGGAACCCTGTGTTGGTGAGTGGACTTTTATCACAGTGATCCCAAGCACTAGCTGACATACTCTGACTGCAGTACTCTAGGTTAATAAAAGCAACTAGGACCCAAATACAGGGTGGCCCAAAAAAAGCCACTCTTTTCAATGCACATTTTAGGTATGATGCTTTCAAGGGTATTTTTCTGGTTACTTGTAATGGAAAGAAGAAAGACTTAGCTACAAAAAGCTTTTTAAGGCTTGAAATTCATTGGAGAGTGACTTAGAAAAAAATGATTGAGTTTTTGGGTTACGAAAAATCAGTGTTGCGCTCACCAGCTTGACCCAACATGCACATGGCGTCCTGACATTCACAAAAAGGTGAAGGAAAACCCGGACCTCAGCAAATGTCTTGAGGATGATTGGATGGGCCTGCTGCCGTATGCAGTTGGTGAGCACAACACTGATTTTTCACAACCGATATTCAGTAATTTTTTTCTGAGTCATCCTTAAACCCTTTCAGACCTGAATTAAGGCCACTGTTGGAATAATATGCTTTTTTGCATTTTTGAGCTCTTTACCTATTTTACTTAAATTTTTCAGTTCTATATATCACTTTTATATTTTGTATAAATTTATCATATACCATATATTATATACTATACATGTAATTAAATAACTGAAGATGATAAAACTGATGGGTGAAAGAAGGCCGATAAAATTGAGCCATGCAAAATTGCACTCATTGTAGTGTAATATGGTGTGCAAAGTCATGAGAATCGCATGAAATCGCTGTAGACACAATGAAAATGCAATGTCCATTGGAATGGATGTGGAAAGAAAGGGTTTACATACCTAAAGTCTGAAAAAAGCATTTTGTAGCCAAGTCTTCATTTCCATTACATGTAACAAAAAAAAAATTTATTGGATAGCATCACACCATGCACATTGAAAAGAGTGCCCCTTTTTTTGGGCCACCCTGTATATGTAGCCTCTTAAGTTTTTAAGTCTACAAATTGCTTACAAATTATGAGCAGCATCTGGATATATTATCCATTTTTCATTGCTGCTTCTTGAGCTCATCTTATAGATTCTCTCTACATTAGGCATGGAATCTTCAAATGATGGTTTAATCCCTATTGCTATGATTGCCTGCATAAAAAATATTTCTAAAAAGTATATTTTACTTCCCTTATGAGGAAACATAGTTGACACAGTCTTGCAAATAGAAGTTCTTATGAACTCCAGAGCTATTCTACATGCACTGAGTTGCAAAGTAGAGCTAGCTTTATGTTCACATTTTTCCAGATTGTCCAATAATCACCACATGGAGAAGTCTAGAAACAAGGAATAAGAGCTCTTTTAATAGAAGAATAAAATAACATTTGTATCATGCTGGGCTCACTTCTTAGCATTTCCTTTAGGTCATGATTTATCATTTTACAAGTCTGACAGCTATTTTATTTTGGTTTTTCAGCTGCAGCATTTGCAAGAAGTGAGTGAGCAATTAACTGGAGGTGCAAATCCTCGGGCTCGGAAGACAAAAAAAAAGAAAGCAACTGAAACTGAAGAAAAGGAACAAGAGGTGGTGGATGTTGAATGATGGCACAAGGCAAGGGACCAGTTGATCTGGATATTGGGGAAGTGGAAGCTGAACAAATCAAGCAATTTCGGGACTTTCTTTTCAATTACAACCGAGTATCAGAGATGTGTTTCATGGACTGTGTCCATGATTTCACGTCACGTCAAGTACGTGAAAAAGAGGACACATGTGCTATGAACTGTGTTGAGAAGTATCTCAAGGTGAACCAGAGGGTGTCCCAGAGATTTCAGGAATTCCAGATTATTGCAAATGAAAATGCAATGGCTGCTGCTCAAAAAGGACCTAGCCTTCTCAGGTGATGGGCAATAGCAATGTCCCTGTAGTTTCTGCTACTGCCCTAAGCTTATGTGTCTGAGTTTGTGATTATAGTCTTTGAAATGCAGAATGATTGTCTACATTTCTGTGGCTTCATGACTTAGTTAAAGGCATGGATAGCTTATGCCTGGTATAAATTCAATCAATGGGATACTGTTTTTTTTTTCCCTTTTCTTCAAATTGACATGAGATATAATGAAAAAAAAGCAACAAATTTCAGCCATAACAAATTCATTGCAAATTATACATTCACTGTTTCTTGAGCCTGTTGGAATGTGAGAGTGATAAAAATGCTCAAGGTTTAATGGGTATCCCAGAATTCTTGACACAGTCTTTGTCTGAAGTAGGAGGAAGGAAAGAAAAGGATAACCAAGAATGTTTTACCTCAAAAGCTTTCAGTTTTACTGTTGTTTTCATTACTTAACTTCTTAGATATTTTTCTATTGGCTTGCTTTTGAATTGAATGGACTGTAGTAGAACAAAAAATGAGTCTGTTGACCCAAATGCTGTTCCATGAGAGACAAAACAATAAGGTGTGGCCTGTAAGTTCACCTGACACCTGAATGTCACTTCTTGTTTCATCTGGGCAAAACAAAAGATTTATGAGCAAAAGAAGAAAGGAATAATGAACACTATCACATTTAAATGTATTTGAAACAAAATATGTGAACTTTGACCACCTGACTTGCAGGGTCCATGTATCCACAAGAGATTGATTGCTATTCACATTTGATGGTCTGCTCATGAGGACTTCCACTACATTACACTGTGACTCTGTGCTCAGTATTTGTGCTGGCAGGGACTTTGAAGTATTTTCCAGCATTGTGCTGGTATGAACAAAGAAGATGACAAGTTTTTCCTTTTGAACCTGATGTCAACTTACATAACATACCAGCACTATAAAAACATTTAACCTCCAAATGCCAAATACTTTTTTCAAACTAAACTCCTACCTCTCAAGAGAGAATCACACCAATCACTAGCTTATTGTATCTCCTTTGTGACTTTAAGTAGTGGGTTGGCATGATGACAACAACCAAAACATTGTCCCTGCTGGGAGTGTATCTGCAGTCTTGAAACAATATCCTTAGTTTTAACTTACATGCTTTGAATACCAATAAAATATGGCTAGCCATGAGTAAGTGCTGAAATAAATAAAAGTATGCTTTATTTATGGTATCATGCCCTCATTGGCCTTGGTAGTGCTGAATTATGAAAAGTTTGTTGTGTCTGTGAACATTTTACTTGTAAATTAAAAATATGAAAGGTTGAACACTTAGTTCTGACAATTATTAATATGTAATGTATCACTGGTGCATTGTAACAATGCACAAGGTTTTTGTTCATGGTAGTGAACATATTAAACCTCCCATGAACTTTCTTGAACCCTCTTCCCCCCCATTTTCCTGCAATGATGAGCAAGTTTTTGCCAGATGATATAAGAAGACTATAATATGCATCATTTGGCATTGGAGATGCTTTATGACAGCTGATTAGACCATATTGTTGGAGGCCATAAACTTGAGCAGGAGTGCTCTACAGAATGAAAATTGAAATACAAATAAAATGCAGTCATACCCTGATCAGTATAAATCTTCAGGTAGGTAGGTATAATAGTTCCTCCATAGTTGGGAGTTTCAATATTTCCTCTGAAGGTAACTGGAGTTGTGAATTTATGCCTGGGGAGAGGAGAATACACCTTTCTCTGGATGCTTCTTGCATCTCCATGAGGGCTTTTCCTTGCTACCAATCTTGGCAACTACAATTTACTGGGTGTTCTAAAAGCTGTGCTACAATTCAAATTGGTCATGTCTTTCCAGGTAATAACTGGATAGCATTCATGCAAATATCAACTTCAAATACGATATTAGGGGGTTTGTATCACTGCAACTTTATGACAGAATATTCCCTATGTGCCTGCCTTTGATTCATGGAGTCTCACCAATTATTGTCTGTGACTTGTTCATGAATGTATGCCTTATGTATGCTTTCAACTCCATGCTTTTTTGTGGCTTTGTGCCTAATTACATATTTTTTGGTATTCTAAAAGAAAGAAGTTGCATGAATTTAGGCTCTTATTAGGAAACAGATGCAGAACTTCATACAGCGTCTAATGGAGATGTTTACTCTATGCCTGCATATGGACCTCTTCAGGTTGCAGGAAAAGGCCTCATGGAGTGTCTGGACATCTCCCTTCTCATTCTTCTCAGTACAGATTGAGATTGGCCAGCCATTTTGTTCCCTGATCCTTAGCACTAGTTACTCTGAAATTTTCAAAAAGTTCCACACAAGTGCTTCAATTGGAACCATCTCTGACAACAAAATCCATTGTGTTAGCATGCTGCTCTCCAACTTAAGATTTCAGCTTATGGTGTTGGTCAATGATTTGCATCCTTGATTGATTTGCTTAGATTGTTATCTTGGAAAAATCTCAAAGATTAGCAGTTTCAATTGGTACATCATTCAATGTAAAACTATGAGTAAGACAGGATTTATGCAAAAAACAGCACTGCACAACTTATGGAACACCCTGTACCTCAAATTTGTCTTGAAAGAAGTTCCAAGGGTTTGTAAGCTTATGAAACTTGTTAACAATAGGTGGTGTCACTCTCTAGGTGTATTAAATGTTGAGAAAAGAGTTTTGTGTTCCTATCAAATTGTATCTATTTTCTGCATTTTGCCATTGTAGATTATCATCCATGAAACCTTACCAGTACTGTTAATATTCTTTTGGGAAAAATACTTGTTTTATGTTTCTCTGTAACTACTTCACCTGCCACTTTATTTGACTCTTATTACATTCATCTCTGCAAGTGAAAGGACAGAATAAGAGATGTTGGCATCAGCTTCACGGGTTTTCCGATTAGTGCCAAATCATATCCGATGCATATCCCACTCCATCCTCAGTGAGGCTGATCTCAAGGTTGATGACTTTAAAGTCCAAAATGAACCTTGCCTCTGTGAGTGCATCACTGTCAAGGATTTTCTATCTTAAGGAGTGACAATATTATGGAGATTCAGTAACTGGTTGTGGAATTCTTCCATCAGCCTACCTGAAAGGAAGCAAGGAAAGAGAGGAATTGCAGGCAGCCCTGGAAAGATATGGGAACAAGATTGAGGATATACCAATCGTGGTTGGATCTGAGGAAATTCGTACTGACAAACCTCGCTATCAGGTAAATCTGGCTTTGGCTGGAGGCATGCATCTCTACATACAAAGGGTGGATGTAATAAATTTAGTTCCTATAGGATGACTCAAATCTAGAGCATCATTTTCAAGGAGATTTCTTCAAATGTAGCTAACTTACACCTATAAAAATTTAAAGAAGCACCTGGGTGACTTGTTCTGTGTAGTGTAGTGAGCCTTCTGGAGTCAGATTTCTTCAAGCTCAGTTTACTTATGGGTGCAAAGGTTTTGTGGAAAATCCAGCAACTCTCTACTCAATCATTTTTGAGCAGAGGTTTTTGTTTTTGAGGTTAGCTTTCTTCTATACCAGAAAAGCTGGAAACATCCTTGTTTGGGAAATTCATTCTGCCATCAGCACCATAGCCCATATCTGTGCAAAGGATTTTGCCTACAGCCTTGTCAGAAGCTGAGAAACGAGACATAATTTTGTAGTTCTTTCAATAAAAAAAAGTCAGCTAGAAATGAGCCTCTTAATTTTCAACAATTATAACAAGAAGCAGCAACAAGGCATAGCCAGAAATTCAATTGAAAATGAATGATTATTACTCTACCTGACAAAATTTTGCAGCTCCTGTCCACAATCTGATGTAACTCTGCAGGTGAAGTGTCATGTTGCCTCTAGCAGTCTTGGCTGTATTCACTCAAATGACATGATGTACCATTTATGTGCCAGTGCTTTTAAATTAAGCAACCAATTTTTACTGTACAACTGTTGTCTCAATACTGATAGAAAAATGTTGCTGCTTTCTCATGCTATTTACATATAAAGATTTGCAGATCTTTGTCAAGTCTGCATTGAAAATATGTTATTCTTTTTAAGTCACCCTGAGTAATGTGACTATGAAGTTAATGAGTGAAACTAAGGAAGTTCAGTTTTCATGGCTTAGCAGTGTAGATTTTCTTACAGCATCAGTTGAGTGCATCGAAACCACTTTGTTCAAGGGAACTTGTGTCTTTCCTTCCCTACATTACCTTTTCATGATCATCTCTCAGAAGAATGTGGGAAAAAAAAATTTTTTGCCTGGCTGGAATCTATATTCTCCAAAAGTTATGTTAATCTAGAATTCTTTAAAATGGTATCTCTCTATAGGCACTCTCAAGAGAAAAAAAAAACAAAACAAATCAGATCTTCAATGTGAATCTTCTTTACCATCCTTGAATAGTTATTTAGCCATCCAAATGCATTTAGGTTACTATGGGGATATCAGAAGTGAATCTCCATCATAAATCACATTCAGATGACTAGATGGTACTCCAAGTAGGTCTTGGTAGATCCAAGGATGGTAATATAACAAGGTAATGAGAGTGGTTTTTAGAATAGTAAATTCACAGTTTTTTCCTTATCTTATTTGATGGATATCTGTGTATGCGTGTTGCAAAATGTTTCGTGGCAGACACCTTGATTGTGAAGACAAACCCAGACCTAGACAAGTCAATGCCATCATCACAAATAAGAACATTGTAATGGTGGATGGTGGTGATTAGGTGAAATAGACATGTGTTTCTTGATGTTATAGCCACAGAAGTTAGCTGAGTTTCTGCACACAAGCATCCAAAATTGCCTCCAATTCCATTTGGTATATGCCAAATGGATACCAAAATGTATTGCCAAGAACAGAATGATGTTCACAAGTCTTTGTCTGACATATCTGCAATTCTGCCATACCGAAAGGGATTGCTTTTTGACTGAAATCATGGCATGTGGTGGAACCTGGCATCATCTCTCTGATGATGACACCCTATATTGAACAATGATTTAGTAGAAGCAGTGAGAACATGGTGCCACCAGATGCTGATGTTGTTTTACAAACAGTTTCAGAAAAAAAAAAATCAGGTTGAGGCAAACCTCTCCATGCCCCATAGAGAGTATTTTCTGTAAACACTGCATGCACATGTAATAGAAGTTAATTGCTGTTTTCATTTGCCTGGCCCATGTATTTTTTTTCAATACCCTTTTTTGTTTGTGCACCCATGTTTATAAATATGCATTTGTGCTCCTCAAAAAGCTAATGTTCTCTCAGCTTTCTACATGATGAAATGGTACCAATGACTTTCTGTTATTTGAATGCTTTCTGCATTCTTGCACTCTGCTAGTAATTAAAGGCTCCACTTATGAGAGGCCAAATAAGATGCTGGTTTGATAGTAGGAGATTGTGTCCTTTCAGGTGTGTCCCTTTGACCATCAAAAGAAGATAGCAAAGTTTTATGATGCAAATGAGGAAGTAATCAAGAAGGCTATAAAGATCTCTCAAGAAGTGAGACCAAAATGGGAAAAAGTCCCCCTAAATGAGAGATGCAAGATCTTCCTCAAGGTTGCCGATCTCATGGCAACCAAGTATCGAATGGATCTAAATGCTGCCACAATGCTTGGCCAAGCAAAGACAGTCATCCAAGCTGAGATTGATGCTGCTGCTGAGCTTATAGATTTCTTCAGGTTGGACCCTCCATATGTCAATTCAAAGTTTTAATTTCTGTTCTGTTGTTGAGGTTCTATGTTTCTTTCATGACTAGGTTCAATGCCTTCTTTGCCAAGGAGTTGACAAAATATCAACCCCTAAGTCCAAGACCAAAAGAGACTCTGAACTCTATGAGATATCGAGGGATTGAGGGCTTCATTGCAGCCATAACTCCCTTCAATTTCACAGCAATTGCAGGGAATCTCCCTTCTGCCCCAGCTCTCATGGTATGCTATTTTCTGTACTTGTGGATGGATGACTTATCTATTCTGAACTCATCAAATCATTAGCATGGTGTGGTCCTCCATGATCCAGATGGAAAGGAATGTACATGTTTTAAAGTAGTTTTACATTATTGTGGCTACAAAATGGTATGTATTGAGAGACTTTTAAGGGGCATAATGGATTTCAGCTTGGATTATGGATAGGGATGGGTTATTGATCAGTCAATTAAAAACGGTCAATTGACCAGTCAATTGACCAAGTCAATATGGTCAACTATGGTCAATTTTGGTACATAAGACCAACTTTTATTACTTTCTTTCTTTTTTTTCGTCATAGTTTTTGCACCATTATATATGTCATGACTCACAAGTGATAGACTAGGGTGACTAGGGATGGGAAGTTGACTGGTCAACATGGTCATTTTAGACCATTTGCAGAAAATAATGGTTATGAGCCCAACAAGAGGTTAGGCCTTATGACTATATGATCATAAATTACCATGTTAACCAGTCAACATCTCATTGCTAAGATAAATTTAATGTTCCAACTCATGCAATCTATAGAGTAAACAGTAATAAATCATGTTTCATAGCTAGATTAATTTTTTTTAGGCATAGGCATAGGCATAACCCAAGTACTTGTCCCATGATCACAGACTTTGAGAATAATTTGATGCTCTGATGCATACTATTAGCCAGGACCATGATTGACCTTGCATGAAACTAAAGTTCTAAAGCTGTTACTTAGATCTTGAACCTTAACTTTGAAAGTCCTTGAGGCTATAAAACTTTGAATAGCAAGCTATGCCTGCACACACACTCTGCATCACTCAGGTGAAAGGTCATGGTAGTTTGAGCATTTGCTAAAATGTTTTCATATGCAACAGGTGCCACAGTCTAGGTGTTTGGCAGGCTGCATGAACAAATCTTAAAAATTGAACTGGCTCTTTGGTTTTAGTGCTGGGGGATAAATGACCACAGTTATGAGCTCTATAAAAATATATTAATTCACTGAATGAAAAGAATTAGTGGTCAATAATGGTCAATTAAAAGGTGGTCAATTGACTGCTCCATCCCTAATTATGGCTCATGGGCAAGCGAAAATACCCTGATACTGAGTATTTTATCTTCATTTGGAGGGGCAAAAAATACTTTGGGGGCTTAACCCATTGGCTTAGATACAAATTCCTACATTTGTGTACACAAAAATGCATGTTCAGACAGTGTTCACAAATTTTTCTGTGAATTTCGAAGGGCCATGGATTGCACTGGTGCTTATCTTGTGAGGAAATTTTGTACTATTTGAGATATTAAACACTAAAGATTGACTACAGAACAGTTCCTTCTGTCTAAAATTAGTTGTCCCACACCAAGTACGGAAGAGTTCCATAGGTCCGAACCAGTGGGTTAATTTGTCATGATGGAGTAGTCTGAGTTAGTTCTTGTGAGATAGTAACTATGATCACAGTTCTATTTATGAGAGGTCATGCGTGCCTGTTGGACCCTATTGCTTGAGGTAATTGTGCTTTTTGGTAAGTGGAAAGGATTAACCAGACCTGTCTGCTTACCTCATCCAGTGAAGATTCTCTGTTAAAACAATTTTTTTTCAGAATTCTGACTTTTGGAACTGGAGTTAGCTTTGTCCTCATTGTGTCTCTTCTTGCCAAGATCCTAATTGTGATGCCTGCATTCATTATTGCATGAAAGTCTCAATACCAGAGCAGAAAAATAAAACTCTTCTTTGAATGGGATATGGACTGCTAGACCTGGAAGTTGTCCTTAACATTTTCTCCTGTCCGTGTGTTTCCATCGTATCAAAACTCATGAGTATTTTATCCTTTCAGGATAAAAGATCTTTCTCTTTCCCTTTTCAGGAGAAAAGAAAGATAGCAAAGTGTTATTTTGTTTGCATATCACATTTTTATTCTTCCTTAATACCTAATCCTTATTACAATTACCACCTTATATCCCAAAGCAGAGATAAAAAAAGTATACTTGTGATGTTACTTCAGGTGAAGTTAAGCTTTGTTTATAGATCACATTGAATTATGTTAGACCTACATTTTGCTGCCATAATGTTGGAAAGGTATTGGAGAGCAATAATATTGTAGCACATGAAAAAATGAAGGAAATTGGTGGTAGATAACAACCAGATATGCCCAGGAACTTTCCTTAGCTAGAGGTTACTAATCCCTGAAGCCCAGCATTAACTTTATAGTGGATAATTGGACATTATGTTGGGTCATTGGTGCTTTTCTGCTTTCAGGGGAATGTAGTTCTTTGGAAACCATCAGGCACAGCAGTACTCTCCAGCTATATGGCATTCAAGGCAATGAGAGAAGCAGGTATTCCAGCAGGGGTCATTAATTTCGTCCCATCTAATGGTTCTGTGTTAGGCAACACCATCACATCTAGTCCTGAACTGGCTGGGATCAACTTCACTGGATCTGTCGCGTTTGTTGCTTCTTCTGCTATCCATTGAACCCTCCCTCTGCTCTCTGCCTTGGGTTGCATTGAATGGATCATTTGTTTAGGACTTTCCAACACCTATGGAGGCAAGTGGGAGAGAACTTCAGTGTATACAAGAATGTCCCTCGCATGATTGGAGAGTTGGGTGGCAAGAATTATCACCTGGTTCACCCATCAGCTGATCCAGACACTGTCGCAGCTGCAACCATCCGGTCTGCATTTGAATACTGTGGCCAGAAGTGCTCTGCTTGTTCACGGATGTATATTGCTCAATCCATTTGGCCCCAGGTGGGTATTGCATCAATGCAAACCATCCTTTTTTTGCTTAATTCTCTGTAAATACATAGGATATTGATTTGTAGGTGAAGGAAAAGATGCTGAAGATATTGAAAGACATGAAGGTGGGTCCTCCAACAGACTTTGAAGTCTTCATGTCGGCAGTGATAGATGACCGAGCGTTCAAACGTATCAAGGGGTACATTGACCATGCTGGTGCGAGTAAATCTCTCACAGTTATTGCTGGAGGATCCTGTGATGACAGGTATGGCAGTGTCATCTCTACTTTGGAAAACGAAGTGTCTTCCCTGAAAATATATTCAATATTTGTGCTCATGACTTATTTGGTGTTGGTTTGTAGCACTGGCTATTATGTTCAACCAACGGTGATTGAAACTACAGATCCACACGATCGAATCATGAAAGAGGAGATTTTTGGTCCTGTGCTCACTGTCTATGTCTTCCCTGATGAAAAGGCCAATGAGATTCCTCAGCTCATTTCTGATTCTGTTCCTTATGGCCTCACAGGCTCTGTTTTCTCTCAGGATGAGTGAGTGATGAAGCAATTTACTTTATGCATTCAAGGGCTTCAGTAAGGTTTTCAATGTTGTAACATGATTTTGTGTGGATTTTGCTTAAAGGGGATATGCAAGGAGAGTGGCAGAAGACCTAAAGATGTCAGCTGGCAACTTCTACGTGAATGACAAATCCACGGGTGCCATTGTGGGCCAGCAGCCGTTTGGTGGAGGACGCCATTCAGGTGAGGAATTCATAGGCACACACATGGCTTTTTTTTTTCTGGATTTAGAACAGGATCTTCCATTTTCTATTATAGGGACACTAGTCATTAGAATGATTTAAGTTCTTTCCATTTAAGTTGTATAATTTGTTCATGTCCAGATAGCACTAAGGCAGAAAGTGTGATTTGTGTAGTAGTTATTCGAGAAATTTCTGAAGACATCATGAAGGATGGGAAAACAGAATCAGAGCTTCAAGTTTTGAAGCTCTGATTCTTTATTCAAAATTGATCATTTTGTTTTTTTGATATTGTCTGCTATTTTTGTTGATGTTTGGAAAGATAACAATGATCACCTCTCAAGTGATAAAATAATTTTGTCTCAGTTACTATGTATCAGAAGTGGACTGTTTTGACCTATAATCATTTTATTTGAATACTTTCACCAAACCTGTCAGCATGAGTTGTTATGATTTTACAAAGCTAAAATCTACAAAATAAGGTCCAAACCCATTTTTTACTCGAAAGAAACTTGACCCTAAGAAAGATTCTTTAGCCAATCCTTCACTTTCCACCAGGCTGGTTAAATTGCATGCCCCACTTATTAACAAGGGCTGAGCAGCTCATGCTGCCCAGCCCTTGTTAAAATTGTTGAAAGTGGAAGTATTTTATTGTTATTTTAAACTTTATTTTTAAGTCTACCTTGTTTCTTAATTAGTTTTTATAGCACCCTTTATTGTTAAATAGATTAGCATGGCATTGGCGTTATTGTTAGGCCTGATATCCATGTGCTCATCAACACTGAATGGAGGAGATTCAGTGCTAGTGGTCAGTGGTCAAGATTTCACGATTGGTGACACAGATCTTGAGAACTTCATGAGATCACCCTCAGACCTAACCAATATCTGAATAGAGGGCTTAAAGCATTAACCATGTTTTCTTTGGAACATTCTCCTTTCATGTAAATGATTCAGAAGTCATATCTGACTAAATTCTTACGAAAGACCAAGCAAAATTAATTGGGAAAGCAGTGGGATATTGGGATGCCTTCAGTAAGGGGAAATAAAAAGAGGGAACTACAGACCATTGTCATGGGAACCTTTGCTGATTTGTAAAGTTATGGTTCTGGCTAGAAAAGTCAAGATTTTCAAACTTTGCAATAAAAGTAACTAGTTTCCATTTCATTTTGCATCTTGTATTCAACTCCAATAGCATAGGAGTTTCAATGTCAATAAGAAGTATAATGATGTTTGCATGAGATCCACCATAGATGAGGTGTTCCTATGAGGTCCATCAGCATAAACACCCTCCTTGTGTCTACCCCTACATACCACCCTTCCATCTTTTCAGTGAAACTTGAATATCCTTTAACCCCTTGCCTGGGAAATTTAAATCCCTGTTCCATTAACATTTAGGGAATTTTTTTCTTGGTGCATTGTGCAAAAATTAGATGTCTCTGTCTGGCCTTCACACACATATTTATCATGAGTCATATTTGTTATAAGGTTCCTCCCCAAGCAACATGTGATGTCCATGCAACATTGCTGCAATATGACTTGAGCTATGTGACATAGCAGTAACATTGCATAGATATCATTTAGATGTATGCATTGTTTGGGTTATGATGAAACCACCACCTGTCCACCTTGTCATTCAGCCAGAGGGATACTGGTGGATGTTTTGTAAGAGGATTAAAAAATCTATGGCACCTATAGACATCATCCCCAACAGGTGATATATTTGTATTGACGCCTATAGATGTCCTCCCTAGTTAACTGCTTCCATGATTTGCCTGTCTCTGGTGCGGGTGACATTGTCCTTCCCAAAACTGACTTGCCTGCATGAGACATGGGCAACCCATGTTTCATTGTTTCATTCTTGATTTGCCTGAATAAATGAATAAAATATGTTATATATATTCTTTTCAAATTCTTTTATATTCTTTTCATATTCTTTTCGTATTCTTTTCGATATTTTTTTCAAACAGACTATATAGAATCAAAATCTGCAATAAAAAAATTGACATTTTTGGTTCAATTCATTGCGTAAAAAAAAACCTGGTAAGTGGTTAAGGGCAGTGGCGTAGCAAGGGGGGGCTGGGGGGGCTTCAGCCCCCCCAACTCTGGTCGGAATACGTCCGCCCCACTCTGGCAAGGAGAAGTTAGCCCCCCAACATTCCGCTTAGCCCCCCATTAGCCCTCCCAACGTTCAGCTTAGCTAGGTTATTGACGAAAACCTGGCTACGCCACTGGTTAAGGGGTTATTGCTATCCTCTCTGCATGTCAGATATTCCTAGAGTAATATATAATAAGTTATATCTGGTGTAGGTCTAGGAGTAGTATCTTTCAGTAAACCTTGTTTTAGTAAGTTGTAAGTTGTCCAAATAGTTTTCAATAACAACTTGGTTTGAAGAAAGAAAAGCAATTTTCTTGCATGTAAATATTCGCTTTTTGAATAATTTAGTTACATGAGTAGCTAGTGATTTTATCTGGTTGAGAGTAAAGTTCAGGTATGTTGAACTCATGCAAACTGGCTCAGCCTATCATTTGAGGCTGTGATACCTTCTGGTGGAAGGATAAAGGACTCTGCATCTTCATTCTGCATTGCTTCTTGTATTTAATTTCTAATGATATTTCAATTTTCTCTACCATATGTTGAGTGAGACTAAAGTGCTTTTGATGGATTGGAACAGGAACAAATGACAAGGCAGGTGGCCCACATTATGTCCTCCGTTGGTCCTCCCCTCAGGCTGTCAAAGAAACTTTTGTCCCTCTTCGGGAATGGAGATATCCCTACATGAAGAACTGAACCTCAGTGTCAAGGAGTCAAAGGCTAAGGTTGGTTTTACAACCTTCCTTTTTTTTTTTTTAAGTAGTTCAAGTTTTTTGCAAAAAGATTTTGTACAGTTTTGCTTTTGACTTTGTTATTCCTCTGATGGTACTTCTGTTTTCTCTGCATGTGATACACTTGTGATGTTAACAGAAGCCATGATTTATTGCTAATGGCTGTTAGTCTTCTAGTGTGCATCCATTATGGCATTGGCACATGCACTGACCTACAACAATTTTGCCTATTGACTTATTTTTCAGGCTTGTGACAGAAGAATCTCATCAATTTGTTTCTTAAGAATGATTCATTTTTACATATGTTGGGAGGCTCACAGCATACACTGGCATACATAAATATATATATCTCATTTCTCAGTACAATAAATATCTGATTAATCATATTTCTTATAAAGGAAGATATTCAGTTCCCCACTTTCATTGGGAGAAGTATGCAGTTTTATTTGGCTTCTTCCTCTTTTCTCTTACCTAATAGCATGAATAGAAGGTACAGGCTATAGGTTTCATTGGTGGGAACAACCATTGAAACTAAGGTGGCTAAGGTGGACAGTTTTTATCTCTGAAACAGTAGCACAAATTACGGTGTGATTGTTTGGCAGATGTGCCAAAGAGTACAATTCATGGCCAAATTCCTGCAAATAATGCCACAAAGTAAAAACAAATTTGAAAGATATTGTTGCATAGCTTCAACCTGATGAAGGCTCTCATTTATGGTTGAGGGATATAGTGCGACTTCTTAGTGATCTGTATGGTGAGATTGCGGAAAATGTACCTCAGCTAAGAGTGAAGAAAATCAAATCCATTCCTTGGACAGAAAAGCAGCAACATTCTCCTCCAGTGGGACAGGGGAACAAAGATACAGCCTTTGCAGGGTAAATTTTAGCATGGAGACATGTAAATGAAAGTTGATAAATGCAAGGTCCATGGGAAGTCAAAAGCAAGATTTCCTTATAAATTGCTATGTGAAATTTGAAGGTGCAATGATATGAGTTGGGAGTTGTGCTTGCCCTTATCTCATGTTCCATTGCCATTTTGCAAATCCTCTTTCCATTTAGACTTTTTTTTATGTCAGTCAAATGATGCAGCTCCTAATGAGGTTGGAAACTTGCAAACTATAATTATTGAAAACTTTCCACATGTCCTTGGATACCATAGATTTTATTATGCATTCCTATGCCACCAACACAGCTGCATCCTTGATGGCACCAAGAGCTCTGCTTGTTTAGATATGCCAGTGTATCATGTAATGCTTTCTTTTGCATGTTTCTGGCTGAAACATTGGCCAGAGAGCATCTGGCCATCGGGGCATTCCTCTCTGGCCAAGTGTCTGATTTATTCACCATTGAATTTGATTTTATGAGATTCATGATATCCTATCACTGTTCATCATTCTTATCGTTGATGCATTTCCTTGAGTTCCTGACTTGCCATGAAGTTGCAATTGTCCTGGAAAAACTCAGAATAAAGAGAGGGAACTCAGCCCTCATGTTTTTTCTGAGATGGAGTTCAACCAGAAACCATTGTTTTACATTGGGTGGTGGTGTTTACAGGATTCAACTTTCCACCACTGACATCATATATCAAGGTTTGTTTTGGCAGCAAAGACTGACCTCACAAGGTATTGTTAAAGCTTGCTTCCATAGTGATGTTTCTTCATTGTTTTCATGTAAGGTCAGATTGGGTTCTTGATTCACAAACCAATGGTCACCTCCCAGGGCTTATGTTTGCAAGGTATATTGTGAAATTTATTTTTTTTTTTTTCATGTAAAACTTTTTAATATCAATTAGGTGAAAGCAGTAGCTTGAACCTAAAATGCAAATAAGACATTGGCCCATGGGCTAATGAGTTGATGCCAAGAGGAAAGACCCATCTTGCCATAAGGATATTCCTCATGCTATTTTCAATGAACACTATCTCTGTTCTCTTTGACCTGCTGCACCATCCAGGTTGCAATGCAGAAAGAGGGATTTCTTTTTTTGAGGTTCACATATTAGTGCAAGTAAAGATGAGATTCAACAAGGACAAAGCGGTTCTGTTTTGTTGTGATGGAAGAGGATTAGACCCTGAATGCATCATGTCAGAACACAGACCCATTTCCCAACATGTCGATGACCTTTATGTATGGAGAGCATCTTAACCTCTTGGGTCCTACTGCTCCTGTGGGAGTGGCAGTTCAATGCAGTAATTGCAGTCAAGGAAGGTTTGGCTGCAAATAGTTACACTGAATTCCATTTTTTCTGCCCACTCCTTTGGGACCCATGGGAGTGAGAGGCTTCTCTCTACCTTGAAGATCTTGAAGTCTCAAGGGAACCCTGAATTTTCCCTGCACTAAGTTCCAGCATTCATTGGTTTCAGAGGAAGAAACTTCTCCAGTGATGACATCCCATCAAAATCAAGTGCACAGAGAATGTATTCACGTCTGGTAGGAGAATCCTCTGCTTTGTGTCTACAAAGGAGGATGTGGTGTGAATTCACAGGTGATTTCATGTATGTGGTCAAAAAGTATGAAAAGAAAATGGAGATGATAAATTCAATAGGAAGATTTAGTTTCTTTTTCTCAGAATGAATGGTCCTTCCAGCTAGAAGTCAGTTACTATTGTTTCTTCACATCATAGTTTTTGAAATGGTTGCACTTTATCCACATCATAATTATTTTTTACATCTTTAGAAGTTGGAATACTTCATTTTCTACCTGTCAAAGGATTAGTCACTATCAACAGCTGTTGAAGTTAATTAAAAATCATATCTTATGAATTATATAGGCAGTTGAATGGTATTGTTTGGAAAACAATGTCTCCTGGAACAATGCAGAATGATGGTTTGGTTTAGCTTGGTGACACCAAAACTGAGATCCAATTAGTCTTCTGATGAAGCATGATAAAGGATGCTGGGCTCTGACTTGGATATTTTGAATTCCATTCATATTGAATTAGCAATGAATAGGTAGGTGTTGAATTGTGAAAAGTGCATATTAAGATGTGGTATCATATTCTCATTGGCTTGGGTGGTGATGGATCATGAGAAGCTCATTGTATTTACTGAAATATAATTCATCAGTCAAAAGTAGACCAATATTTAATTACATAGAAATGAGATACAGATATATGTGATGTAATACTATTGGGTTCATTGTCATGTACAATTCCTGCAGTGATGAGCTTCAAGATTGTGCCTGTTGATAAATGAAAAGCCCATTATGCATTGCTCTTTGGTAACACTGATTCAATTGAATTGCTATGAGCCATGAACACAGGTGAAAATGAGCCACAGAAGACATGCTGAAATGCAAGTGAAACAGCTACTTGCAACTCAAAGTACCATAGAGTGGAGTGATGTAGAACAGGTTTTGACTTTCAAATTGATACTACTGGAAGTGAAATTACCTTTCTTATAGCCTGATTATTTTTGTCTTGGGGCACCAGGAAGACTTCATAGGGCTTTGAGATATCTAATTTCACTTTAAATTACATCAATTTACAATTTAAAATTATTTAAAGTCACCTTGCAAAGTTACTTTATTGTAACTCCTTTATTATCACAATTTTTTGTAACTCCTAGGATAGACAGGTACAATTTATCATCTAGTGGAAACTTCAGTCCTCCCTGTGTAAGGTAATTTGAGGAATTGTGCCTGAGAGAGGAAAATAAACCTTTCTCTGGATGCTTTTTGCATCTCCACATGGGCTTTTCCTTTCTATCACTCTGTACCATTGTGTTGTTCATCTCAGTGGTACATTGAAAGTAATCCCAATATTCTATGAGCTTCTGAAACACAGTTTCAATAAGTGAAGGTGTCATAGTCCTATTGTAGCAGATTTTGAGGGAAGAGCTTCATGATTTCTCTTCCAAGTGCGTGAATATTAAATTTTTCATTCAAGATCACCTCCCATCAAACCTATTATATTGGTATTTTCTGGGAGCAAGTACTCCCTGGTTTCTTGTATCTCTTCTGTAACTATATTCTGATTTATGGGTCTCTGTTATTGAACTCATCTCCATAATTAGGAGAGCAGAATAAAAGATGTTGGCATCAGCCTCGCAAGTTATCCGATCAGTGCCAAACCAGATCCAATGCATATCTCACTCCATCCTTAGCGAGACTGATCTCAAGGTTGTTGACTTTACGGTCCAAAATGAACCTTGCCTCTGTGAGTGCATTACTGTCAAGGATTTTTCATCATAAGGAGTGACAGTATTATGGAGATTCAATAACTAGTTGTGGGATTTTTCCATCAGCCTACCTGAAAGGAAGCAAGGAAAGAGAGGAATTGCTGGCAGCTCTGGAGAAACATGGAGGCAAAACTGAGGATATACCCATTGTGATTGGATCTGAGGAAATTCGTACTGACAATATCCACTTTCAGGTAAGTTATGTGGTTGAAGGTTAGGAAATTGCAAGTTTCCTGGCTGGGAGTTTGCATCTCCGTGCCAAAGGTGGATGGCACAAATATCAAAGGTTTACCACCAGAGGGAGTTATGTCCAGTTTCCTGTTTTAAGATATTGAGAAATTGAACTCTGGTAGTCTGTCTTTTTTTGCTTTTCTGTTGTTGTTGCAATGCCTGATATATACAGGGTGACAAACAATGGATGCTCCCAAAATAAAAATGCATTTATGGTCTACAAAAAGCAAGAAATGAAACTCAAAAGCACATTAAACTACAACTGTGGGAGATTATGTGATGGTGTGATCAATGTGGGTGTCCTCACTGGCAATCAGGTGAAGCAGCTAAACAATAAAATTCTGACAACAGCTTCAAGAGTCTCATTGGAGATCTTTTCAATTTCTCTCTGAATGGCATCCTTGAGCTCCTTGATGGTTTTAGGTTGTTTATTTAGACTTTACCTTTAATGCAACCCCACAAAAAGTAATCGGGTTGAGATCCGGGGAATAAGAAGGCCAGTTGATTCCCTTTCTTGATGCCTTGTAATCCAGAACAATAAACCTATCATTAAAACTTTCATTGATGAACTCAAACACCTTGCATTGCGATGAAGCCTCATACTGTCCTGTATAAACTAGGCTTCTTGCATGAGCCCCAATCCCTGTAAAGCTGGAACGAAATTAATTTGGATGAAACTTCAATGACTTCAATGAGCTGGCCATCTTGCACTCCATACTCTTTGCAAAAGCCCTTCTCACTCTCTCCAAACTTCTTTGGCTCAATATTGTTGTACCTTAAAAATGTGTTTGATGCTGTAACTTGTCATTTCTAGAAAAGTGTCAATAATAGACAAAAACGTAACATGCATAAGCATTCAAATTGACTTGTGCGTGTGACATTGCAGTAGAATAGTTTCATATGGAGAGTTGTAGTTAAATTTGTATCATTTTCAGGTAGATTTGTATGAATGTGTTCTGAGTTCCTCCTACATGTCTAGTTGCTCAGTATTTGTTGTCCTAGAAGGAATGTAAGGACATAAACCAAGGAGATTATTTCATTGACCCAAGATGAGTGAGATTCTGACTATCCCCTTCAGTCCTAATTTAATTAGAAGTGAACTGGAGACCTGGGTTTCTTACAACACTATCTTGAATATTATATTTATTCATATTCACAATTCACATTTGATAGAAATGCAATTTTCTTGATTTTTTACATAGTGGAACTCGAGTCCCATTATGTAAAAATATAGACAAAGTTATATTAGTAAACAGTATTAGTACATAGGCTAATATGGGACTCCTGGGTCCTGCCAGGAAAGAAAGGGTTCCACTTGCAGCTTTTTAAGCAGTGGTGGAATGGTGCAAGTGGTTTCCTTCCACTTATTGTAGTCATACACTCCACTCAAGACTCTTTTTAAGGCTTTGCTTATGAGACCAAGTGAGATTCTGACTTGATAGCACTAGATCACGTGCTTTCAGGTATGTCCCTTTGACCATCAGAAGAAGATTGCAAAATTTTACTATGCAAATGAAGAAGTAATCAAGAAGGCTGTGAAAATCTCTCAAGAAGTAAGACAAAGATGGGAAAGAGTCCCTCTGAATGAGAAGTGCAAGATCTTTCTCAAGGCTGCTGATCTCATGGCAACCAAATATAGAATGGATCTGAATGCTGCCACAATGCTTGGCCAGGCAAAGACAATCATCCAAGCTGAGATTGATGCTGCTGCTGAGCTTATAGATTTCTTCAGGTTGGACCCTCCATATGTCAATTCAAAGTTTTAATTTCTGTTCTGTTGTTGAGGTTCTATGCTTCTTTCATGACTAGGTTCAATGCCTTCTTTGCCAAGGAGTTGACAAAATATCAACCCCTAAGTCCCAAACCAGCAGAGACTCTGAACACAATGAGATATCGAGGGATTGAGGGCTTCATTGCAGCCATAACTCCCTTCAATTTCACAGCAATTGCAGGGAATCTCCCTTCTGCCCCAGCCCTCATGGTATGCTATTTTCTGTACTTATGGATGGATGATTATAAAGACCTTCTGAACTACATCAAATCATTGGCTTCTTGTGGTCCTCCATGATCCAGATGGAGAGTGATGTGCATCTTTCAAGTACAGTAATACCTCACAATATGTTCAGGATGCGTTCCTGAAAAACCGAGCGTATTGCGAATCAGCGTGTTGCAAAACAAAAATTTTATAGGAGTGTATGTCTGTACATCCATGATGTACAGACAATGCATCCCAACCGTATTGCGAGGTATAACTGTACTATGTATTATCTTGTCTTTGAAATGGTAAATGATTTTCAAAGAGCAAAAAGACTTGGGGCTTGGATTATGCCCAAGTGTTTGTATGTATTTGTATGCAGCACTGCTTTGGCCCCATTAGAGTACTGCATTCAAATCTGTAGGCCTGCATTTAAAGGTGTTCCAATGGCACTTGAGAGAGTTCAAAGCCAGGCTACAAAAGTGATGCGATTTTTACAATTTAATGGCTATTGCAGAATGAGAGGAAACCAGTTGAAGTTGTGTAAACTCCAATTGAGTCTCAGATTGAGGAATGACTTCACATATATGATGAGAACAATTCAGGCTAAGCTATGTCAGTAAGTTGCATAGTTATATGTTGGGCATGCATTATGCAGATACATTGAGGTACAAAAACAGTATAACAAAGCAAAAACATAAAAGTTTTTGAAACATTAACTAAATGGAGGAAGTTATTTGACAGCAACTACCTATGCCTAGAAACTTGGCTTGACTAAAGAGAAGCCAACTTTATGTTGAATAATTTGTGGTTTTGAACTTGCAGGGGAATGTAGTCCTATGGAAACCATCAGACACAGCAATCCTTTCCAACTATATAGTTTTCAAGGCAATGAGAGAAGCAGGTATTCCAGCAGGGGTCATCAATTTCATTCCAGCTGATGGTCCTGTCTTTGGAAATACAATCACATCCTGTCCTGACCTGGCGGGGATTAACTTCACTGGATCTGTCGCGTTTGTTACTTTTTCTGCCATCAATTGAACCCTCTCAATGCCTTGACTTTCATTGTATTGATTTTTTTTTTTAGGACTTTCCAGCACCTGTGGAAGCAAGTGGGAGAGAATTTCAGTATATACAAGAATATCCCTCGCATGATTGGAGAGTGCGGTGGCAAGAATTACCACCTGGTTCATCCATCAGCTGATCCAGACACTGTTGCAGTTGCAACAATTCGGTCTGCATTTGAATACTGTGGCCAGAAGTGCTCTGCTTGTTCACGAATGTATATTGCTCAATCTATCTGGCCCCAGGTTTGTATTTTTATCAATGGAAACAATTTTTTTAAATCTGAAGTTCTCTGGAAATACATAGGAAAATTGATTTTTAGGTGAAGGAAAAGATGCTAAAGATACTGAAAGATGTTAAGGTGGGCCCTCCAATGGACTTTGAAGTCTTCATGTCAGCAGTGATAGATGACCGGGCATTCAAGCGTATCAAGGGATATATTGACCATGCTGGTACAAGTACATCCCTCACAGTTATTGCTGGAGGATCCTGTGATAACAGGTATGGCATTGTCAGCTTCTCTATAGTTTGGGCCATAAACATTCATATAACTTGTAAGTTTTCTTCTGCTGCATGTGCAAGAAAAGCTAAGAAAAAAATACATGTGGCACCTTTAGGTCAGCATCTCTTTGCTGGATGGTATTGGGTGTTTCAATAGGACTCCATGGTGAGTGGCCTCACCTTGCTTGCAGACCATGAAGCAGAAATTATCAGCAAACATGAATGGCACCCTTGCAATCTTAACAGTAATCTATTTACAGTAATCCAATGGATTACTGTATGTGGAGTGTGCTGGAAGTAAGTGTTCAAAAATGAAATCTAGTGATCTATCAAATCAATAAAGATTGGTGCTGAAAGAAGAGTGGAACTATGTCCTGTCCCATGGAATTTACCAGTGGATTTGAAGATCGCATGGTCCCATCAAGATGAAAGGGGGACACATAAATATTATTCCAAAAGTTACAGTAAATTAACTTTTGGAAGAATATTTGTTGTTGAGGTTCAGTTGATTTTATTAGAAGTTACTAGTACAGGAAAGATAAGACTTTTATTTGGCATGGGTTTTTGTGGCCCATTCTGTATGATAAAAATGATGTAACTTCCCAGAACCTATGCTGAAACTCTGTGCACTTGGCTCATTTTGGTGGCATGAATGCTTGCAGCACTGGCTACTATGTTCAACCTACAGTGATTGAAACAACAGATCCACTTGATCGAATCATGAAGGAGGAGATCTTTGGTCCTGTGCTCACTGTTTACGCCTTCCCAGATGACAAGGCTGATGAGATTCTTCAACTTATTGCTGATTCTGTACCTTATGGTCTCACAGGCTCTGTTTTTTCCCAGGATGAGTGAGTGAAGTACCCATTTTCTTAATGTTCTCATGAACTCTTGTGAAGTGTGGAATTGGATGGTATATTTTTGTTTGGGTATTCCTTGAAGGGAGTATGCAAAGAGAGCAACAGAAGAACTGAAGATGACAGCTGGGAACTTCTACGTGAATGACAAATCCACAGGTTCTGTTGTGGGTCAGCAGCCATTTGGTGGTGGACGTATCTCAGGTGAGGTATTCCTCTGCAATTCCATAAAAATCACCTTCAGAGGAATGAAGCTTGGGAAATGGAATGAATGATAAATGTTTCTTTTGGTTCATGAAATAATTATCTGGATTGGAAAGTGATACCTGTCATCTTTACTGGCACTGGCACTCTCAGTAATTTAATGGTTTTAGTTCTTTGCATATGAGCAGTATGGTTTTGTCAAAGCCCAGAAAGGACCATGGTAGAAGTTGAAGCTTTCTCTATATGGTTCCATTTTGCGTGAGCTTTGTTTGCATTCTTATATTCATGCTTGAATTTGTGGGCTGCATGAATATGGGAATAGGACAAAGTATAAAAAACAAGTTAACCTCTGCAGTAGGCTAAACCTCAGATTAAGGTGTAGCCTGACAAGATTTTGTTGCATTCCAATAGGAACGAATGACAAGGCAGGAGGTCCTCATTATATTCTCCGCTGGACCTCCCCCCAGGCTGTAAAAGAAACATTTGTCCCTCTCAGGGAATGGAAATATCCCTACATGGAGAACTGAGCATGACTTTCAAGCATACAAAGGCTGAGGTTGATTTTACAGCCCTCCCCCTTTTTTTTTTCATTCACATATCTTTCATCAGGTTTTGTATGGAGCATGTGTGTAGTTTTCCCTCTGACTTCACTTTCTTTCAAGAGATATTATGTCTGTTCTCTGCATGAGGTATCAGCAGAGGCCATAATATCTTGTTGAAGGCCCTTGCTGTCTTCCAGTGTGTCATTTATATTGATGCTCTTGACATGCATAAGCCTACATCCATGGTGTTATTAGACCTATTGGCATGTTTTTCAGTCTTGTGATAAGAATCTCTCTCATGAGTGATTTTTAGTTAGGTAGTGAGGGTCACAGCATTCACTGGTATGCATAAAAATGCTTAACTGATGCCCTTATTTCTCATGCAAGCAGGTTTGCTGGTTTGCTCTTTCTAGGAAAGATCCCATGAATGCCATGTCCTTTTCTTCTCTCACAGAATGACATAAACAGCTTGGATCTAATTTTCTAATATAATTTTTATCAGCCTAAGGTGGACAATTTACATTGAACATATTTGTGTGACTTGTAGATGTAATTAGAACACAATTGGGTGGCCAAATTCCTATAATTAATCTTAGAAAAAGCATCTTATTGAAAGTTTTTTTAAAAATAGTTTTAGCTTTGTTCTAGTCTGCTCTCCTTACAGTTGAGAGAAATGGCATGGGTTTTTGGAGAAGAGTGATTGCAAAAAACATTCCCCATCAAAGTTTGCAGGAAGCAAAATCTTTACCTTGTACAGAAAAGCAGCAACATTCCCCTCTAACTGGGCAAGGAAATGAAGGTTCTTTCTTCTGAAGGTAATTATTAGTGTTGGGCTAGAAAATCAGGAAAAAGTAAATGAATGTTGATGATTATGACACCTGAAAAGAAAGGTTAGAACTTGTGATAGTTCTTACCATGCAAAAGATGTAGGATTTTGTCATACCCAGGACTAATAATCTCATTTAACCCTTTGTCTCTCAATTTACTGCATTCCTGTTTGTACAAAAAGCCATGTTTATTTAGATAATGCAAGTGTATCATGTGATGCTTTCTTTTGTGTGTCTCTTGCTGATGTATTTGTCAAAGAGGTCTGAATTACTCAATTGTTGAATTTATTTTGTGTACAAAATGAGATCTTGCTGCTGTATATGATTGACACAATGTCTTGAGCTCTTGACATACCTTGAAGTTGTAGTTGGCAAGGAAAAACCCAGAATAAAGAGAGAGATCCCAGCCCTCCTGCTTTCATGATAAAACATTTTTGTGGAGGTGTACATCTCTTTGGTGGGATTCAGTTTGGTATTACTTATATCAATTAGAAATTACTTTTGGCAGCAAAGACTGATATTGCAAGGAAGTGTTTCTTCCCTGAAATCTTGGAAGATCAAGTTGGTACTGTGAAACTTTAATTTCCTGAAGTAACATTGACCTGAGGTGTTTGGATAATTAAGTAAATGTGAAAAAGGCAAAGTGCCTTCAACTTGGTACATTATTTATACAGCAATGGGATGGCATGACAACTTTTTTTTTCCATTCCTTTTGTCTGTAATTGTCATAACTTGCTTCCTTTCAAAAAAAATTTCCTCCTTTGTTCCTCTAAGACTTCCCATGGGAGAAAAAAACTCCCTTACTCCAAATTGCAAATCAACCATTGAATTTCATAATTTTCTTCTCAACAGTATTATGCAACATCCTTGAGTGCACTTCAATGAAAACTTAAAACTTGATACTTATCTTCCATTCTCATGGAGAGAAAGTCATTAGGATTGATTGATCACATTTTTCTCATCCCTTCTCCCTACAGTTGACACAGCAACTTATTGTGTGGGTGATAGCATAGATCTCTTTATTATTGTATCTTAGAAGCCAATGAAACTTCATTGATATTTGGGTGGTAGTGTCAGATTGTAAAGTGGTGTCAACAGTTGTCAGTTCCTGTAATGACCAGTGGTATGACAGAGTTGCATCTATGCTGGTATTTTCATTATTTTTTGTTTGGATAACCAGACAATTAGATGACAGACACTTTCCTGTCTTAAATCCCTAAATCCCTGTCCTAAACTCTAGTAAAGTTAATTATGTTGTTTCTTTTCAAGTAAAGTTGTTTATTTCCATCTGGTGAAAAATGCAAAACGAATATAAATAAATGCAGAAGAGGCACTGGCCACTGAGCAAGGGAGCTGGGGCTACGGGGAGAGACTCATCTTGTCAATAAAAAGATGCCCATGTTTCTTAACTTCTTGAAACGACAGGACCCCATCTTGATTCTCATCTGCCTGCTTCACCAACCATTTTGCTACTCGCAGTGAGTGAGCCCTATTTCTGGGGTCCACATACTCCTATAAAAGAAGTTGTACAAGAGTGAAGAGCAGTTCTATATTCTATACAGATGGGAGGGGAGGGATAGACACCAACCAGGACTTCTCGCCGGGATAAGGACCCATCTCCTGATGTATCCATGACCTTGAAGGTTTCCTTGAGGTCTCCTGAGAAAAGAGCCTGGATTTTTGCATTCTCAGTTCCAAGATCCTCCAGTTTCAAAGCAAGAAACTCCTCCAGAGACAACATCCCATCACCATCAAAATCTGGCAAATAAAGAACCATTCCACATCTTGAGGAAAACTCTGGAATTCCAGTGCAAAGTCACAGTATTATTACAAATGACTTGTGGCTGTCACATTGAATATATGTTCTAAAGGGAAATAAAATCTGAATGTGGTACTTGTTTTCAATTCAATTCAAGGAGGAACATATTAATAAATGTCAATTATAATGTTGAAAACGTCCAGCTTGTAGATACATTTTACCATAGAGAAATGCATATGTGACTCCATGAGTGGGATGAATCACCTAGTAGGTATGTGAAAATTTTTAGCCTAAATAAGTACATGATCCCCAGAGTTTCTATGGAATCTGGTTCAGAACTGAAGCTTTAATTCTAGAGTGCTTTTACACTGAGAAAAGCCCTGTAAGACAGAAACTTAAGGGCCATTTGAAATTGCTCTGCATGAAAAATCAGACTGACAGGCTCAGATGCACATCATTGTAAGAATAAACTGTTCCTTTGGGACTACAGGGTCAATTCATGGATGATTTTAGAAAATGGAAGAGTTTTGTTAGAGACAAAATTGAGGCAATTCAGAAAAAATTTAAGTATGTTCATCATATAGTGAAGCAGGCAAATATGGTCCAAATGGAGTAAGAGGTTTTTCAGCATTTTACATTGACCTACTCACAGTCAATTTCAAGGGAAAAGTGAACTGGGAAGGTGAAGTATACTTAGGATAAAATCATGCCAATGCTAAGAGCATAAGAAGTCAAATGAGTTAGGGACTACTCTCTCATCATGCATTGATTTTCAGGTAGACACAGGAGAGAAAAGAGTGGCCATACCCAACGCAGCTTATGATGGAGAAGACAGAAGTGTTCCCGCTCCTGGTAGATGGAAAAAGAGGGTGAGTAAATGGTATTAGAAAAAATGAAGAGAACTGATGTGAGGAGAAGCCCAGTTTTTAATATGGGATCACCTGAACTTACCAAGGCCTGAGGCGACATTGTCAACAACCTGAAGAAGAAGGGAGTGGCTTTGCTCAGGATGACGAAATGATAGGAATTCATCAATGTTGAGAGCATCTGGGTCCCCTCGGGCTGCTTCATACCAACTTGCCTTCTCCATCATCAGCTCCTCTGTAGAAACACTCAAAATTACAACATTTTGACAACACTTCATGCATAATGAATCTATCAAGGGAGGCCTGAGGTCAGATTCACTTTTCCAATGAAAATTTCTTGACTATGCATTGAAAGTAGATCAAATTAAAGTGATCCAATCAAATTTGAAAGGCATACACACCTCACATCCCAGTATCAGTATTGCCCCCAATGGGAAAACAAGAATGTCAAAGTAAGAAAAATGTTATAATTACCCAGCAGAAAAGGAGTCTTAAACCCTTTCACTGTTATGGGCATATATATACATCCACCACTTCAAGGAGGTACCGTCCATAGTAAGTGAGTGTAAATAAATCAAGTCAGACAATCTCACATTAATTCATCTCATCTCACATGTTCATCTCACATTAATTTGTAATTTCACAACAAAGGTAAGACCACCTTTCATTAAACTAACAAGAACTTGAAAAAGTATTCAGAACAGGATACTACTAATGGAAACAAAACTCTGCAGCTAAAGGGTAAGGAGGGAATGGACAATTCAGTTACAGCTAATTGATAGGCTAATGGCAGACATAAAAAAAAAACAAGGCAGCTTTGTCTATTTAGATATAACTTCTCTACACGAAGCAGAAGAAAGGGGAATGAGACCTTACCCTTGAGTGTCCGATTGAGGAGATCCATGACCTTCTCAGGATCCTTCTCCTTCAAATTGATTTTTCTCTCCTTGAGAAAGTATGCAACATACTCCCCCCAAGACACCATCCCTGCTCAAGTTCAAGTCAGAAAGTCATGAAACTCATTATTGGGCCATGTTTTTTTTTTCTTGGCTTCTGTTTATTTTTGCTTATCTGGTCATTTTCATCCTATTCCCCTTCAAAGGTGCAATCACAAGGCATGGGGATAAAAAGAAGAAAATAACTAAGTTCCTCATAGCCTAGAAAAATAAAAACCTATTTGGATATGGCCTAAGACCCAGGTCTTAACTGCTCTCACTAAAGTTATTTTCTCAAAACTTGTATTGTGCATATACGGTTATGATTCTAACAGATCTTTGAAATTTCTCCCAAATTTGTTAGGTCAAAACAGAGTTATAAGCAATCATTCCAAAGAAGTTGAATACTGTAGATGGAAAAGAGCTTCTTCTAGCAGACAAGTGGAGTAAATGCCCTTGGACTGTGACTGCTTTTCATCCAGACTATATAACATTTTCCATACATTGAATTTTGGTCTTTAGGCTGGCCTTTTCTTGAGGATAGTTTTGGTAAGATTTTTCCCAATTAATGACAGATGAATCAATAAGTAATGCACATTGAAAGTTAGGTGAAAATAGGTCTAGTTAGAACAGATTTATACATATGTTTAAAGTTGTCAACTTTCAAGGTTGGCTCTTAAGTTGTTTTGCTGAGTCATCTGATGTTATCGTATGGCACTCAGCATTAGTGATATCTCCTTAATACCCTCATGCATATACATTTTTGCTTTCTAGGACACATCATGATTTCAACATTTTGTGGGAATTTGAAATTGTCTGATAATTAAGGCTGACAGGCCTTTTAGTCTTTGCAGATTATATGAATAACTTGCTGCAGTAACCTGGATACAGTAACCTTATTGCAGACTTTACCACCATGAAACCTGAGATTAAACCATATGTGCTCTCAAATAAAATTTGGAATAGAATGCTTTATTAAGCATAGATATGAGATAACATACAGCTTTAGAACTGGGTGAGTCTTGAAAAAAAACCAAGATTTTTGCATAAAAAAAAAAACAAAAAATTGGAAAACCTCTCAATTAAATGCTTCTCCATTAAAAAGTTCCATTTCTCATGTTTTTTTTTCCTTTTACTTGACTCTGACACTCAAAAGGAATATCTCATGCATTGGTGTCTGATTCAAGTGAAAAACATTACCTTCCTTCACCTGTATGCCAGAGAGGTTTTAGTTTCACAATCACATCTCACATTGCAAGAAGTGCAGAGATGTGCTGACTGTGTCATCTAGATATAGAACACCATGCCTATACTGTATGGGTTAAGTTGGGCAACAAAAACAGTTATGCTTCCATCCTTTACTGGCTGCATTATTGAATATGGCAACATCCACAATATTGTGTTTTTGCCTCAATGGGTAAATGCAGATTTCCTTTCAAATTGTCCCAATAAATTATACCTGTATCTGTATTTAAATGCAACATAGGGAAATTTTAGCCACCTGTTTGTGGAGTTCAGCGCATGCCTTACAGCTCACTGGGTTGCATATCTGGAAGGACACACCCTATGACTGGTGCGTTTCCTTGCAGATATGCAGCCCGGGTTGGCCTAATAGCAGTCACCCCCCCTTTACCTACAGGCAGCAAAATATTCTCTATGTTGCGTTTAAATACGAACACCCTGTATATGCTTCTCTGCACTTTCTTTATTGATGATATTCTACCCACTTCAGTACAATGGACTTTCAATTTACTATTGCTTTTCATGTTCTATGAATTTCAAGTCATGGATATAAAAGGATTGATATTGCATATCTCCTCACCATCCCGAGGATCCATGTCCAGCACAGAGGTGAAAGTAATAAGGTTGTCTCTCAGGATCTGGGTGACCTGTTGGAGGCTGCGACCATAGATCCAAGCAGCAATCTCTGCATCTGTCAATGACTCGCTCTTATCCTTATCACACCTGCATGACAATCATTAGATATTTCTCCTTCATCACATCTGACTTATCCACTGCAGCAAGTTGAAGGACATGACAGAAGACCTGGTAAACATGCTCTGCAACAAGGAATCAGCATCCAGAGACTCTTCTTTAGGAATGCTGAGTTCCTGGAATGGCAATGGATGAATGGGCGGACTCTTTCCAGGGTGAGAAAGGAAGAGGAGCCAGCAGAGGAAGATTAAGATTGGAAGGGAGATTGCAAGTCTTGAGAAATTCTTTGTTGTCAAGTATGGAGGGAATCCATAAGAGATAAGCATTCGCTGCATTTTTTTCTTAGTCAAGTCGCATCCCATCATCATGGCTGTTGACACTCCTTTACCATCTATCAAGACAAGATGCCACCCATCACCAATCAAGTGTCACTATCTGCAAAAGAGAACTCTTAAAAATAGGAATCTGAAAGTATTTATTTTTTCAGTAGTTACAATTAAGTCACAGTCCTCCTCCTTGCATTCAGAAACATACAAAACCTCTGGGAATGGGAAAATTTAATAGATAGATGTCATTAGATGAGAATAGATAGGAAGTAGGAAGATAGAAGTCAAATTTAAAAAGTAGCATTAATCTTGAAAAAGCTGTGGGTTGAACCTAACAGTTGAATTTAAAAAAAGATGTCATTCTATGGTGTGTCAATACAGCTTTTTGATTTGGTTGGCAGGAAATGTTCAGATGACAGACATAAGTAACATAAAGAAGGTCCAAAAAAGTCTTCAGATGCTAGGGAATAGTGTAAATTATGGTACCTAAATGCATTCAATTTTATGCTTTGATAAATCAATATATCAATATTAAACTATCAATGACAGTACCAAGGTACATAGAGCTCAGTCCCTCAAAAATCTATCACTTCTTCAGTATAGTCAACACAATGAAGTGAGATTTCCTCAGTCAAATCCAGATGCATATCATGCACTGGGAGGTCAAACAGTGTCATGTAATCATCACTGATAAAAAAAAAGTGAATACCAAATAGCAGACACCCTTATCACTGGTCCTTCAATTGCCAGATTTTATTACAAAAAAAGAAGTAAAACAATCAGAAGTCCAAGTCACATCTGACCACACTGTGAGATCACAACTGAGATTTTGGGTTTATTGTTGGCACCAGTTGGAACATTCTCTATCTTCCTCATCACCAAGAGGCCATCAATCACTTTGCCAAACACAACATGTTTTCCATCTAAGAAGTCACACTTTGAACAGGTAATGAAGAACTGACAACCATTGCTATCTTTCCCACTGTTGGCCTGCAGAAAAGACAATTCAAAGTAGGATAAGGGACTTCATTCAAAGCATGGGTAAAAATACACTAAGAGAAAATATGCTTCAAAATGCATTGAGAGGTTTAAAAACTGCACAACATTATTAAATTTTCTAATATTCTCAAAGTGGACAGAGTTAAATTCTTAGATTATGAAACCAACCATCAAGCAAATGTTACACTAAGGAAATTATTGATATTGGCCTATCTCTTTCTATTATATTCCAGATAAATGGCAAAGGATCTCAATATCAAAATACAACACCCAATCACTTCCTCATCTAGAAGGCTTGAAAATCATTTCTGCTGAAGCACCATGAATTTTTGCAATGAGAGTGAAGCCTACTGGGTTAAGCAGAAGGCATTGTCACTAGGCTCTCATATGCTAAGGGATGCACAATCTTGTTTTATTCTATGGCTATTCAGAGTGAAGATTCACAGTTAACAGAGTTAATGACCTTGTCGTTCATGCCACTTGGGTACTACACTACTACCCAAGAAGGAAAATAAAATCTGCCATGTGAAGTTCTACCAGTGGAGTCATTTTTTCTATATACTATAACAGCATTACATTATAACAACTACAAGAATGATTTTTTACTTATTAATGGGGTTGCTGGAAAGTACCTAAGATGACTTTTCAGCATATTAACAAATTTACACCACTAAACTATGAAAAAATGGTTCCTGGCATGAATGGGTTAACAAAACTTATACTGAAATGTTCAAGCTGACTCCACTCTCAGAGAAGAAAGGAAAAAAAAAGCCTAAGGACCCACTTTCAAAACTCTTTAGGAACATTGATCTAAGATGTGACCCACTGCAAAATGTAGCTGTACTGTATAGCTACATGGACAGCTGCGCCCACGCTTTCAACCAATTGGGCCTCTACGCCCGTTGCTAATTGACTGATCATTGCAAAGACACACACCACACTCTCGTTCCTGATTGGCGCTAAATTAGCGATTTATAGCGTAAACAACATGCACATTCTGTCTTTCGCGTATTGCTTCACCTGTTCCTGTGCAGACACTGGAGTAAGTACATATTATCGTTTTCCCCTTTTTACTTGAATATATCGATTCCATTCATGGTAACATAAGTTGTTCGTGTTCTTGTGAACAGGCCATGCTTGCTCGCGAGTTTTATGCACTCATTATGAGTGAGGAGAGTGCTGTCGCTTGGTTACAGGCGCAAGGCGTATTACAGGACCCAGCGGTTCCTCCTCGATGTACCCGTCCTGGATGTGATGGGGACACACAATTCATCACCCGCCAGAAACGAAAGCCTGACGGGACCATCGCGACGTACCCGGCGTTCAAATGTAAACGACGTGGATGTCGGTCCACGCAGTCCGTCCGGAGGCCGAACGAATTTTTCACCTATTTTGATAGTCGCGGCAGGGCGCACAGCAATCTTTCCATTTGCGCCATCCTTGAATTAGTTTTCTTATGGTGCAACGACGTGTCCCAAATTGACGCAAAGAGGCTCTCCGGACATAGTCACCAGGCCGTCGTAGATTGGTTCAACCTGTGCCGAGACGTGCCATTACGACTGTGGGAGCGGCGAGCGGGTGGAGTTGGCGCCATCGTCCAAATGGATGAAACATTACTTCGAGGGCGACGGAAGGCACACTGGGGACGCCTGCTTCAAGGTGATGTTGAGGCAGCGGGAAACGGGGCAAGTGAGACTGATAATGACGGGGAAGTCGAATCCAACGCTGTGCCAGCTGGTGCGCGAAACTACGGCCGACGAAGAGAGGGGCCTTGGGTATTCGGACTTGCTCACAAGCGCCCAGATGGCTTTATAGAGCGTCGCTTCTTTGTGGTGCAGCGCCGTGACAGAGCAGCGCTGCATACCATAATCACTGCGGAGGTCGAGATTGGAAGTATCATTCAGACGAGTGGCCAGCGTATGGCGGGATTCAGGTTCACGGATACGTGCACCGCACGGTGAACCACAGCACCAACTTTGTTGACCCCGACACTGGCGCCCACACCCAGTTAATCGAGAGGTTGTGGGTGGACTTAAAATTTAAGGTCCTCAAGAAGATGCACGAGACAACGCCAGAACTTCTACCCAGGTACCTCGTTGAGGCCTGGTGGCGGGGCCTCAACCCGCCTGCTGGAAGGTTTGAGGCCTACATTCAGGCGCTAAAAGACACTTTCTAGTGAGTGCCTTGAGAGTAAATTGATTGTATATTTGTATATATGAAAATGAAATTCACATTGTTTCAGTTTAAGTGAACAGCAGTTTAGTCTGCTCTAATAGGTGTGGGTCACACGTCAAACTGAGGTGGGTCACAAACCCATGTGGGTCCCCAGTTTAAAATCCCGGCTGGAAACAGCTATAATTTCCAGCTGGACTTCAGCTGTAAATTCGGACCCATTCCAACTAGGTTACAGCTGGAAAGTATTAATCTCCAGATTTGTTCTTAATTGCTAAATGAGAATCTTTTTGTTGACTATTTTTTTTCAGAGGTTCATCAACAAGAACAGCTGCTTTTCAACAGTAAATGTAGCTACATTCCCGGTGTAGGGTCCTCTTTATAAAATGTCAACTGGAAAATTTCCAGCTGGAAACAGCTATTAAAACCAGCTGCATTCCAGTTGGAAAATTCCAGTTAAGAAATAACTGGTACCTAATATTTTCCAGCTCTTTGCCAGCTGGAAATGGTCCGAATTTACAGATTTGGTCCAGCTGGAATATTCCAGTTGGGATTTTAAACTGGGTCACACCTTAGACCATTACCAACCATTCTCTCACAAGGAATAAAAATCAAACAAATCATAGGATAGTACAAGGTATGAGAAGAGAAAGAATTTCCTTTGTGTCTGAGATCATCAGACTTTGACATGTCTAAAGCCTGACAGTCATCTTTGACTTTATTGTGTCCACCCTGATAATTTAAAATTTCTTATTCATTGACATTTTTTGTATTAAGACTAGTGTTCATCTCTCATGAAATGTCAGAAACACAAAACACTATTTGAATTTTCATCATTCACCATTTCAAAAATGTTGACATTCTGTCATGCTCAGATCAAATGCAAAACCATAAAAAGGGTGAGGCTGGATTGTTGCTCCAATCTCACTCCTATAGTAATCAATAATGCCACACATTCCAGCCAATGGCATAATTTGTTTTTTAAATATTTTTTTTTTTGTGATTCATAGCCTGCTTGCTGTACTTTTGGTTTCAGGAGCTGCATCAGAGAAAACCTTTCCTCATCAAAATGCAAAACTTTGACCAATGTGGATAACCCAGTACAAGAAAGCCACTTCATGATACAAAATACTTCTGAGGGTGACAAAGGACTTGATTTAAGTCATTCAATTGTCACCTTTCCTTCCTCTAAATCTGTTTACCTGTTCAGAACATACCTGACAATGGAGATGAGCTCCACATCCTCCACATGGTACATTGCTTCTGGGTATTTTTGAATCAGGAGTTCCATAGTTTAAATACCACTCCTTGTCACTTGCTTTCTTCTTCAACTCAGCTTCTATTTCATCAAGTTCATCAAAGTCTTGAGAATTGGCAGCTTCAAGAGAAGATTTGGTATATATGCTGAAAGGGAACTGATGCTGAGCTTCTGATGACATAATGCTGTCATCCTTCATCATTTCCTGGTGAGAGAAACTGTCTTGGCCCTCAATTCCATCAGTATCATTCAGGTACTTGAGAGCCACACAAGGATCAGGAACCCTGAGTCTCTCAAAACTTTCTGCCATATGTGTACGACTGACCTCACCTTCTAAAGTCTTCCGATGAGGATGAGGAATATGCTGTGCAGCATCAAGGTAACTATGGTATATGATAGCACGGTCTTTTTCCTTGGGTTTACTGAGAAGCTGGTCTTTCTGAGTGATGCCATATAACTCCTTTATTTCCTTCATAGTAGGGAACACCAGCTCACTACTCTTATCTCTGATCTTGGCTCCACTTGAAGCATCATCTGTGTGTTCAAAGGAAGTGCTCACACGTGCAAGACCTCTTATTACATAGCGTCGTATCAGGCATTGGATTTCCAGCACAGCACAAGACTGCATTTCTTTTGGTTTTTGTTTTCTGTCACAGTGAGAAAACACAGTACTATCATGTGATCAGGTAGACAGCAAACCTACCTGATGGTATTCCTGAATACCAGTGGTGATTCATAAGCCAATCTCAGGCCTTGAATTCTTCTGCATTTGTGTTGAACTAGGGGAAAAGAAGTTAAACTACAGAGCATAAAAAGGACACTGACTTATAGTATAAAGATTCCTGATGCATATACTATATTTCTCTGCTCATGCCTGAGCAATTTTGATTAGGCTTGCAACTTGAATAGATAATTAAGTTCAGGATCAGCCCAAATAATGAATTTTAATGGAACAGACATTTGGATGTGATATCCATGATGAATGAACATAGCACTGAGGGAACACTTCTGCTACACTACCAGTAAGGGTTCCAGTCCATTTCCAATATCCAATCTGAATATTGGAAATGGACTGAATAGTTGCTCACATTCTTTTGAATTATTGTCAGCATAATTGATTTTGATGGAACTTCAGAAGTCACTTGAAACTATATCACCCCATTCATAAAACAATTTTCAATAATATAGCTACAGTAGGGGAATAGATTTATTTTTCATAAGTTGCGGGTCTTTTTTGCTATAACCTATAAAAACCAGATAAGTTAACACCCATAAATCCAATGAGTTCAATGAAAGTAGAGGCCTGTGCTAGGGCCAAATCTGTATAAATGTATACCCAAGGAACACATCTCATCCTGCATGAGAATTGCATACATACGCAGCACCTTTGTATGAATTATGAATAATCATTGGGGTCCTGGGTAAAGCAAGCATTCAGGTCCATCTCAGCTCCCACTTTCATCTTCTTGCCCTCTTTTCACAGTAAGTTATAAGCATGAGGTATTGTTCAATCCAATCTGGGGCTTTTTCTCATCAAATAGAACAATTCTAAAATAGCAACTCATTCCCAAATTTTCTATTAAAGACTTAATTTTAACTGAGGACATGGTTCCAGGTCACTTCTTCGAAAGACACTTCGACCAAAACCAAGGGAAGGAATGTCTAAATCAAGAGAAATTGGATTGTCTTGACCTCTCTCTGAATGTTACTTCTTGAAACACATCAAATCTTGTCGCACTTCACAGCCTCTCTACTCTTACTCTGACTTTCCTGGGACAAGTTGGGATTTGCACCAGGCCTAAGTGGTGCAAGCGATAAGAACACAGGATAAACATTACCAATAAAGTCTCAGTTCTTGTACATAAAGAGAAGGCATAATTTATATATTGTATAGTCACTGTTGAGCACTCCTGGTACAGTTATGTACATCATTACCTCACGACCGGCACCATGCCCCAATAAGAGAACTAAACTCAACTGGCGGACAAATCTCACTCTTTGTATCATCCTACATACACCTATCGTTAAAGGGTAGTAAGCTAGCAGCTTTACTCGTTGAGATGCTTCATAAATTGAAAACGAGGGCTTAAGTCTCTTTGTACATTAGGACTTGACACTTTAATAGCGACTGTAAAAGAAAATACTAACGTTAGACCACATGGGCACCACGAGTCTGATTGGAAGCTGCCATTTGTGTAACAAAGGGGTGTCATAACCATTCAGTCTATGGTCAAATGCATGGATGGGGAAACTCGCTAACCATTGATGATCAAAAATAATCTCAACTTCTTCCCCCCCACATCTGAGAAAATAAAACACAAATTTGGATATAGACTTATGTCAATGAAATTAATGTAAATTGGCCTGGAACTGCTCCAAAAATCTCCAACTATTTACAGAGTTTTTCACTTGAGTCAGACATTTTTTCATTTGACTTCGACACTCGGGCATGAGGAACGTCCAATGCGCGAGTGTCCGGGTCACCTGAAAA